ACGCAGTTTGGAAAAAATAGTCCTGGTACCCACATAGCAGAACCATGCTTGTAGAAGCTTATGGTCACCAGGATTCCATCTGGAGAAGGTGGGGAGACAGCACTACCCCATCTGGGACCTCCCAGTGATATCGGCTCTGTATGGGGCCCGGAGAATTCTCTGGGAGTTGTGGAGCCCTCCAGCCAGTTTTCTTTGCTGCTGTGTGCTGTAAGATGGCGCTGGGGGCGGGTTTTGGGCGTGACCTCTGGGATCAGAGGTAAAGGCAGATATGTTTGGATCATGCAGTAGATCTAGGTTGAAAAGTGTGTGCTTTAAAGGAAAGGAAACTGCTTTCTGAGGAGCTGAGGAGACAAGATTCTTCTTGTCTCAGTGAGGACTGCAGGAATCAAGAGAGTGGAGCCAGCCGTGGGATGCTGGGCAGTTTAAGATCTCAGATTGGGGGAGGGAGAGAGATGGGGAAGGGAAGAGAGGGCAGTCAGGGTGGGAGGGGGAAACCAGTGTGCAGGGGGAACAGGGCTTTCTTGAAGGATGAGTTCCAGAACCCCAAGTTAAGAATTTCAAAGCCAGAGCTCCTGTGATTTGCAGAGGGAGGGATTCAGGGGGGCAGGAAGAAAAGAGTACATTTAAGTGCATTCCTTTTATCAGTGTTAATGGATTTCTCTCCAGTAGGAAACGTGTCAGATACTACAAAATTTTTTTTCTGTTGACCCTAACAACATGAAATTGTCTTGGATTTTACACATTACATTTTAATCTGTATTTATATGTGACTTTTACATAATTAAATGCCATCCTATACTTTCAAAATGGAATACTATCATCACACGTTTGTTGTTTCTAATTGTAGTTAACTATCATTTTACAGTTAAACGACACCCATCCCCCCACCAAAGATACAAGAAGTCACCATTTATATAGTTCTTAATTTGCATATTATCAGTCTTCTAAAAGAAGTATTTGTAGAATGTGTAACCATTTTATCAGAATTTTCCCAGTACTGGTTGCCATCACTAGCAGTATTGGCTAAGATAAATAGAAATTGGGGACCAGGGAGCCTGCCTCACATGTGACCTCTCAGTTTGCTCCTCAGCATCTCTCTCTCTCTCTCTCTCTCTCTCTCTCTCTCTCTCTCTCTCACACACACACACACAGAGGCTGGGAAGACATAAAGACATAATACAGAGACTCAGGCACTTGCCTTGCATACAGCCCACCCAAATTCAGTCTCAGGCACTGCCTGTGTTCCCCTAGCATGGCTAGGATTGATCTCTGAGCACAGAGACAGGAGTAAGCCATGCACACTGCTGGGTATGGCCCAATCCCCTTCCCCACCAAGGAAGAACTTAGTATCATAGATATTTTTTGTTTTTTGTTTTTGAGCTACACACCTATTACTCAGGGGCTACTCCCAGCTTGTTGCTCAGGATTTGCTCCTGGTGGTGCTGAACATGGACTCAGCTCACTAAACTACCTTTCTGATCCCCAGAATCCTTACCTTTAAAAGTTGCCAATAAGACTGTAATATACTTACATTAAAATACGTATCTAGAGTATATAGCCCAGGGTTTGGGAGACAGTGCAAAGGAATGGATACATATTTTGTATTCGGGAGATCTTGAGTTGTATCCTCAACACTGTATCCAGTACCCTGTGTCCCTCCTTTTACCCTCCTAGAGTCGTTGGCCCAAAGCTCTGAACCACTGCTGGACCAGTGTCACTGGGATGGCACATGGGTCCCCAGAACTGATGAGAAGGGTCATATAAAGTAAAATAATCTGCATCACAGATACTGAGAGGTTATTGTGTTTGTTCCTTTACCTGCTTTCAGCACACAGTTCCTATCCAGGGTGATCATTTCCAAGTATTGTTGTCATTTTGGTCCCCGTGTCATAATAGTCCCTGTGTATCTGTTTTGCAGACACCATAGTGCCAAGAGGGAGAGGGAGAGGGAGAGGGTTTGCCACAGAGTCATAGAGGCAGGCTGTGGGGAGCCAGGGGTTGGGGTGTGTGTGTGTGTGTGTGTGTGTGTGTGTGTGTGTGTGTGTGTGATTGGCAGGAGGGAAACTGGGATCATTAGTGGTGGGAAATGGACACTGCTGAAGGATGGGTATTGGATCATTATATGACTGAAACCTTCTTATGAATAGCTCTTTGTAACTATCTCATTGTGACATAATTAAAAAAATTAAAAATTAATACAAAAATAAAATAAAGTTCTTGCATCTATAAAAAAGATAAAATAAAATGAAAAAAAATTTAGCCTTCAGCTTGATGCATTTTCACACATGTTCCAAACCCAGGCCTCTTGCATGCAAAGCCTTTGCTTAGCACAGAGAGCCTTCTCAGTGGCCCTTAGAATTTGTCATTTAGAAGTTGTCCATCAGAATTTTCTTTTGTTTTGAAAGTAGACTGTGGGGGTCAGGAGAAACTTACTAAAAATAGTTTCAGGCATTAAACTTACAGTGATTTTTCATGTCTCTCTTATCAGGGAAGGGACAGTAGGAGTGTGTGCTGGGGTCACCCATTTAAGCATCCTCCACTGTACACGAGATCCTAAGACCTTGTGTAACTTTCTCTTTGCGGGATACTCAGGGAATCTCAGGCTCAGGATCAGGCAGATTCTCAGTGGCAGTGGTGGAGTTTGAATTCTACTCCAAACTCAGAGGGCTAGCAGAGGCTCTTTTTTGTTTTGCCTTAAGAACCAGCATTGGTGGAACAGCTAGGAATGAAACAGGAGACTTGGTTGGTTGATTGGTTGGTTTTGGGGTCACATCTAGAGGTGCTCAGGGCTTACTCCTGGCTCTGCTCTCAGGGGTCACTCCTGGCAGGGCTTGGGGGAACCATATGCAGTGCCAGAATTAGAACAGGGGTGGGCAATATGCCAGGTGAGGGCATTAATCTTTGTTACTATATTACCCGTGACCCTAAACAGGAATCCTTTTAAGTCTACTCAGAGTGAAGATGCTTCCTGGTGTCATGGAAACATTAAAAAATAAAATAATGTTTTGATTGTGCAGCAATGCATATTAATCCTGAAAAAAAAACCCTGTAAATGACAAAGAAATGAAAGAAAAGCTATTATGATCCCACCATCCAAAGATAACCAGTTACTTTCTAGTCCTTCTCTCCTTTGGGCATGTATGCTTTTATTTATTTATTTATTCCCACACAAGTAAACTAGCCTTTAATTTGAGAGTCAGTAATCATTGTTTTTAAGGTATTTTTTTCTTTTCTTTTTTTAACTATTAGTGAAATACCATGGGGTACAGTTGTAGACTTGCAAACTTTCATGCTTGGGTTTCAGTTATACAATGATCGAGTACCCATCCCTTCACCAGTTCCCATTCTCCACCACCAATGATCCTAGTAGCCCTCTCATCCCCCCACCCCATCCCCCCACTCCACCCCACCTCTGTGGCAGGGCATTCCCTTTTGCTCACTCGTTCCCTTGGGGTGTTGTAATTTGCTATCGAAGTTTTGAGTGGCCATTGTGTTCGTTCTGTAGTCTACTTTCAGCACACATCTCGCACCCTGAGTGAGTCCTCCAAACATCCTTTACTTGGTGTTCCCTTCTCTATCTGAGCTGGGCATGTATGCTTTTAATACAAACAAAAAGTACATGTAGCATTTATATAGTTATTTTGCTTGCACTTTTTTCCTAAATATGTATTATGAACATTTTTCTATTGCATTAAGTAGTCTTTTGTAGTCTTTCGGGTGGCTTCATAGCATTATATTATAGTCAGATACCACACGATTTTTTTTTAGAATCATTCCCTTCTTTCAGACATTTAAGTGACTTCTAATTTTTCATCATGAAAAGTAGTGCCGCAGTGAACATACTTGGATATAAATCTTTGCTCAGATTTATGGCGATTTTCATAGTGTAAATTTATTTTTAAGATGTATGCTTTATTTTTTTTTCTCATTGGCTTGGATATTGATGAGGGTGAATGTGAAAATCATTTTAATTCTTGTAGACACTTTCCAGAACAGTGTGGAGATGGCAATTTAACTGTACTTAGTGGCTAAAATGTTACACTATTATAATTAATACATGACTGAAGTGTTGGGAGTTGATGGACTCATTTTTAAAAAGAAGTAATGAGATGTGCTAATGTACCACCTTTCTCTCTCTTTCCTACCTCCGTCACGACTGACATATGGGGCTTTTGACATCTATGGCATAGATGAGACATGGTGAATCCCTGTTCTAATTAGGCAAGAGTGCTCACTTCTCTCCATCCACAGGCATTCACCAGGTCTTGATGGGTTTTTGGCCAGTTAATATAATCCTTTCTGACTCTTGCCCTGAGTTTAGCCTGACATTACTTAGCCACGTCTCAAGGGATACAGTGTTTGGTGTCTTGGGGCTGGAGCAATAGCCCAGTGAGTAGGGCATTTGCCTTGCATGTGGCCAGCCTGGGTTTGATTCCCAGAATTCCATATGGTCCCCTGAGCACCACCAGGAGTGATTCCTGAGTGCATGAGCCAGGAGTAACCCCTGTGCAACGCCGGGTGTGAGGCAAAAGAGAGAGAGAGAGAGAGAGAGAGAGAGAGAGAGAGAGAGAGAGAGAGAGAGAGAGAGTGTGTTTGGTGTATTTCTTTTCTTTTCTTTTTTTTTTTTCTTTTGCTTTTTTAGGACTGGATATGACTGGGCTGAGTCTTGTTATATAGCTTTCAGTCTGTTTTTTATTTCTGTTTTGGGGCCACACAGGGAGAGCTCCAGGGTTACTACCAACTTGGTGCCCACACAGTACCAGGGATTGAACCTGGGCCTCCCCAATGTGAGGCATGTATTCAGTGCGCTGAGCTAACTCTCTGTCCTCTGTAGTTTGCTCTCTGAAACACACCCTTACAGATATTTCACCCTTGTCAGTAAGAATGAACTCATAAAGGGATGTACTGTTACATAACAATCACCTAAAAATAAAAGGCATTTAATTTAGATACAAGGAAAGTGTCTGAAGACCTAACGTGCCCTTTTATTTTATTTGTAGATCCACATCATAGATTTTGATGATGAAAATAACATCATCAACAAGAATGTCCTCCTCCATCAAGTGGGTGAAATCTGGCACATGAGTGCCAGTCCTGCAGATAAAGGGGTGCTGGCCACCTGCTACAATAAAAGTAAGTACTCTTAGGTCTTTTGATGCACCGACTAGATAATTACGTGAGATTGGTTTTGTAATGCACATAAAGCCGGTGTGTTATTTATAAGATTGGATGACAATGAGGTGCTGTCTTCAGAGGAGCCTTGCTTTCGTGGGCGTAGGCTAGCAGCAGGTTGTCAGAAGCCCAAGTCTGAGCATGGAAGCTGAATTACAGTTGTTCCCAGAGCATTGACCCTGGTGGCAGGGGAAGTGATATGCGGAGGAGGTGCTCTTCATGCCTTAATTATCTACCCCCAGGAGGGTAGCATGGATTGGCTTCTTGTTATCTCCAAGTGAGTGTGATAAGAGTGGAAAGATAAAGCCTGTCTTGGCTGGACTAAGGCAGTTTGGTATCAATCCTGTTGCACACCTGCCTGAGGTATGTGAATGTTCCCAACAAACCATCCACAGCCTGCTTCCTCTGCCTCTGGGATTTTCTGGTGTGTGTCATCCCGGGGACTGTGTTGCTGCGGTGGCCATGCATCCTCCTTAATCCTTTCTCTGCTACTGTCAATACCTCGTTTTCACGTTCTGGCTTTGGGGGAAGAGTCTTGCGTGATACCGTTTTTCTGTTATGGAAACCAGAATGGTCTGTATGTGTTTTGCTCTGCCATTTCTGAAATGTTTCCTGCATTTATCAACTTGTCAGAATGTTTTTAGCATTCTAAAAATTTTAGACACTTATAACACAGTCTCTCTCTTCTTCCCTTTTGCACCTTTCCTCGAAGTGTTATGATGGAGGCATTGGCCTTTTTGGTTCCGATTTGTTTTCGAGGGGAGTCCTATTTCTGGAATTCTCTGATTAGATTCTCTGCTTTCCCTGAACCCTGGTAGGTTTCTTCCTACTTTAAATTTATGTCAATTTGTTTTTATGGGTGGCTCCACCTAGCAGTGTGTTGGGGGTCACCAAGGCCACTGGGAGTGCTAGAGGTATGCCACTCTGTGCTAGGGGACTAACAACCCAAAGCTTTATACATACACGGTTCGAGCCTAACCTTTTTTTTTTTTTGCTTTTTGTGTCATACCTGGCGATGCTCAGGGGTCACTCCTGGCTCTACACTCAGGAATGATTCCTGGCAGTGCTCAGGGGATCCTCTGGGATGCTGGAAATTGAACCCAGGTCGGCTGTGTACAAGGCAAACGCCCTACCTGCTGTACTATCGCTCCAGCCCCGAACTTAACTATTTGATCCACATCCTTAGCCTCTACTTAGAAACCCATTTTCATTCTTCCTCAGGGAAGAGAGTTTGTTTCTGGAAGGTCTTTTCCATGCGATTTTAAAATTTGTTCTTAGCTTTTCATCAATCCACTCATGGAGGACAACCTCCCACTTTGTTGCTTCCTTCCCATCACTGGTTTCAGAGCTGGGCTTCTTATTTAGTCATTTTTTTTTGTTTTGGGGCCGCACCCAGCAGTGTTCAGGGATTACTCCTGGCTGTGTTCTTTGGTATCATCCCTGACGGTCTCGGGGGACCATATGGGATGCTGGGGATCAAACCCAGGTTAGCCGTGTGCAAGGCAAATGCCCTCCCTGCTGTACTATCTCTCCAGACCCCAGAGCTGGTGATACCATATATGTGGGCCCCCTCTCCCACTTCCCCCCAGGTACTTAGGTTTATGGTTTTGAGTGCCTTTCCAGTTGATGACCCACTATCATGCTATAATGTCAGTTATCCCGATGCACTTGCACATGTTTGTCACTGTCCCTGCTGCATTGTGATGCTTCTGTTTCCTCTGGTCTTAAACCAATGCCTGACCCTGTAGTTCCCTGACCCCCATTTAAGGAAAGTTGGACTATTACCTTCCTTGACTGGAGATAACTTGAAGTTCTTGTGTAAAACAATAGAATTAGACCCCACTAGAGAAGTCACTTTTTCACTTCGTTGGTGGGGTGTCTTCCATTGGATTAACTCAGTTGACCTTAGAGTTCCATCCTCCCAGATACCTTTCCCTTTATGTAAGCCCCACAGGACTGTGGGAGTGACATCCTGTCCCCTTGGCCGTGCTCTCTTCATTAGAAGCAGGCCATTGGCTCACCTGATCTTCCAACAGGAGACAGGACCATTGGGGTTTGGCATTCCAGCACTCAGAGTATATCAACAGACCTGCCCCTGCCTCTGTGGCTGCTTGAGTTGCAGCCATGATGGCTCGGCTCAGGAAGGTTCTACAGGAGACTCCTCTAGTTTCACCTGGCCTGTCCCATTCTCAGACCAACCCGGGCCCAGCACCTCCCCCTCTACTCTCCTGTGACCTTGATGGTGTTGGGGCGGGGGGTCCCTGCCAGAATGTTGTATTCAAAAGGGCAGGAAGGAACGTCAGAAGAGCCACAGGCAGTGGCAGTGTTAAAAGCTTCTGGGTCAGATGCTGAGGGTCTTCTCTGCCCTGCAGCCCCCATTCCCCCAAGACTATTGCCACCCCTCCTGCTGGGAAGTCCTTGTGGTAGCCTCTCTCACACCTGTCCATGCCGCAGTCTTTTTTTCCCCCCAGCTTTATCCTATTATCTTTATTTATTTATTTATTTAATGCATCACCATGAGATTCAGTTACAGACTTAAAGAATTTTCATGATGACGTTTCAGTTATACAATGATCAAGTACTCATCCCTCCACCAGTGCCCATTCTCTACCTACAATGTTCCCAGCATCCCTCCCGCCACCCCCACCCCCTGCTTCTGTGGCAAGCACATTTCCTCTTTCTCTCTCTCTCCTTTCGGGTGTTATGGTTTGCAATACAGGTAGTAAGTGTCATGCTGCAGTCTTGTGGGTCTTCTGTGCACTGTCGCTCCCTGGACATCCTGCACGCCTTCAGGGCTTCATGAGCTGGTCTCCCTTTCACCTCAGCCTCCTCATTCCTCATTTTTCCCACCTCCCTCATCGATCATCCGATCACCTGATCACCCTCCTCTTTGACCCCCTTTTCTACTGTTCACTCTTACCTGCACCTTTCACCTTCCTGATTTGACTGACCACAGGCGGACCGCCCCCTCCGCCCTCTGAAAGGTCGCTTCTGTCACTGATGAGGAGGCTGCAGCTTGTTTTCTCTGAGGCTTCAGACCAGCCTCTGCCTGTTTCTGGAACACACTTCCCTCCAGCTTTTCCTAATAGACTGAGTGAAACACTTTGGACATTCCCCCCCCCCCCCCCCCCCCCCCGCCATGCTTGGTTGTGGTGCTCTCCAGGGGAGGCGTGTCTGCCAGTGGAGCTTGCTTGGTGCTCCCAGGGGCCACACTCACTCCATCCTGACGCTCGCACACTTTCTGGGGCTCGCTGTGGTGCTCACACGCCTGCTTGCTGCAGTGTGTGTGTGTAGGGGGGTGCTCCCGGTGGCAGCGCTGTCCTACCCGCTCCCTGCAGTGCTCACACAAGCCTTGCCGGGTGCTGGGGTCTCAGACAGAGTTACCAGGACCATGCCTGACTGTGCAGGCACCAGGTGGAGGCTGAGTCCAGCTGTGAGTGGCCATGGGACTCACCCGGTGAAGCCTTTCCTGGTCCCCACCTGACCTGGGTCAGAGAGCCCGTGGTGAGTCACCCTTGTGGGATCAGGTACCAGACTGTCCTCCTCTGACACTGCCTGCAAGGCCTGAGGTCAGGCTGGACACGCATGGCATGCTGAAGCCAACAGGAAGCGTGCTTCAGAGCCACCAGTTTCCCAAGTGAACACTGCTGGGCTGTTTTTTTCTTGGGGGGGTTGGGGTGGGTTTTTTTTTTTTTTTTTGCTTTTTGAGTCATACCCGGTGATGCACAGAGGTTACTCCTGGCTCTGCACTCAGGAATTACTCCCAGCAGTGCTTAGGTGACCATACGGAATTCTGGGAATCGAACTCAGGTTGGCCACGTGCAAGGCAAACACCCTACCCACTGTGCTATCACTCCAGCCCCTGCTGGGCTGTTTTGCACCGAACCTCCTTTCTCTCAAGAGACTTTTCCCTAACAGTAAATTAAATATGAATTAAATCCCAGAGCATCAGAAACATGGGTTAAAGGTATTGCTTCCATTGTCTCTTCCTTGTAAGGGATCTAGGTGAAAACCAGCATTGCCCTTTCCCCTCTGACACTCCCAACCACTCCCCCCTGCCCCAATAATGCTTCCCTTTTTGTGCTTTTGCCTGGACCAGCTGTGTTCGTGTCCCTGTCATACATATGGGTTGATGTATCTTTGTCACTCAGAATCAGCTGACCTAAACTCCATTCCCCCAAATACCGTTTCCTTTATGTAAGCCCTGCAGGATTGTGGGAGTGACATCCTGTCCCCTTGGCCATGCTCTGTTGGTTAGAAGCAGACCATTGGCTCGCCTGTGTCTTTGACACAAAGGCACATGGTATTGACTGATGTGTCTTTGTGTCACTGCTCAGGTGCCTTGTTCTTAACGGTCATTGATGTCCTCCTGGTCCTGCTCTGCCATAACCCTCCCCCTTGGTTTCTGTTGGTTTGCATATTTGGGATGGTGGTGGCATCTTTCTTTTTCAGAGGGCAGGAGATTAGTGTGGAGCTCTGGTAGTGTTCAGTGACTGTTCCTGACTCTGTGCTCAGGAGTGTCTCCTGGTGGTGTTTGGGGACCATTGGGTGCTGAGGACTGAACTGGAGTGGGCAGTACTCAAGGCAAGTGTAACCCTTGCATTTTCTCTCTGGCCCCATGGTTGCATCTTTTAATCAAGAATTCAAGAGTCTCAAGGACATGCATTTTACATCATGAGTTGTACCTCTGTTAGTGGGGGGATTCTGAGGCTGGGCTTGTGGGGAGGAGGATGGGAGGTGAAGAAGACCCTATGGGTCAATCACCATGAACTATTCAGAGGGATCTACTTCTGGCAGAGACTTGTCTTCTCTTAAAACTCTTTCCTGTGTCGCTTTCACACATATCCTGAAATTCTTTTTTTTTTTTTTTTGCTTTTTGCGTTACACCCAGCGATGCACAGGGGTTACTCCTTGCTCTGTACTCAGGAATTACCCATGGCAGTGCTCAAGGGACCATATGG